GAAATTCGAATATAAGTTTGAATTCTCGTCAATATTCTTCGGCATTTATAATATATAAATTCTTTTATTTTTATTATATTTTACGTACGTTGCTAATATAATTTTATACATAAATTTATGAAAAATAGGTATTAGAATTTTTTATTCTTTAACTATTCTATTATAATGTTCATTATTCTTTCAATACCGAATAATTTCAAATTTTGTATAATAAATTAAACTTAACAATAAGTTAATATAACGGTATTATAATTATTATTTTAAAATAATTATGCATTAGAAAATGGGATTTTAAACTGTTACGACTGATATTATGACTTACATTATGAACTATTAATAAAAATCTAAATAATTTTAAAGTCCATTATAATCATATATTATTTATTTCTTTTATATCCCTTAACTAAATAATTATAAATAATCTAAATAATCTTCATATTTGTTGTTTCAATATTATTTAAAATCTAATAATATTTATTTAACAAAAATTAATCCGACTGGAAAATTATTCATTAACATATCTGAGCAAAAATATGAGTAAAATATATCAATGTATACGAGAATAGTAAAAGTTCTGATAATTAATATTAATTTAGAAGCTTACAAATATTTTTAAGAAGTACAGATTTTCTAATATATGATATTATAAAGAAATATGATTAATAATTTCATCTTTGACAAATAATTCCAACTTTTATGATATATTGTATTCAAACGTTATATATATATATATATATATATATATTTATAATATCAAGATTTAAAAAATAGATTGAATTAAAATTAATTTAATTACCGATTCATTATAAAAGCATTCATACAAAAGCATAAAAAAAATTATCTATATTGAAACAAAATTTAAGAGAAATAGATATAAATAATTGACTTGTTCAACATTATCAGCTGAAAATATAAATTAAATTTTAAATATAAAAATCTGAGTACTTGATTCTTATGAAATATTTTACTGTAATGATTATTTTTTACTTATTATAAAAATTTAAGAGATTTACAATAACTTTTCTATATAATTCAAGATATTCCAGTAAGGTTTTATCGAATCTATTTCAAAAATATTTTGTTTTTTTTTTAGTTTATTAAAATCATTATAAAAATTAAAAATAGTAGACAGTATAATTTGAAATTTCTGAATTTCTTGTACGAAAAACGTAGTTCAAACAAATGCATTAACATTTATTACTATTATTTCTCAAATACCTTTCTTATTCAATTATATATATATTCATTTATATTGTTATAAAATCGATCTATTTATTTATATTTTGTTGGATCCTGATTTACAAAGTACTTTTCGAAGTATCAGCAGATAATTTTTATTAATTTATGCTATTTTTATCGATAATTAAAAATTTTAATTTATGAATATTATTTATGAATTTATTATAGAAAAGATTTATGTTTATTGAAATCGAACTAGAAACTTATCTTACTTTTCTCATTTGCTTTAAAGTTTGCCTTATAAATCTGCTATTTCTTTATTTCTCTAATAATTTTCATTTCCTCTCAGGCTATATTTTGCTACTATTATTTTACAGTTACGTTTGCTTTGTAAGTCTTTGAATTAATTTATGATAATCTTGATATAATATTACAACTTTTCTTCATTTTTTATTTTTATTTTCGAAGATCATCAGACATTTTTTAACATTGCTTGAATGAATTTTCTATATATTTTCTGTATTTCCACGTTTTAGAATTATTCAGGAATTCCCAATGATCTGCTATTTTATCTTTACTTTTTCAATGTTTATTCCCCGCTTAAGTTTTTTATCTTTTAATATTAATATTGCTTACATATTATATTTATACTTATGTCTTCCAGATTTTTTTTTTATAATTTTGCACTTTTTAAACTACTTTGCTATCCATATATTTTTCTTATTATCTTTCTTTTAAATAAATAAGTAAAATATTTTAGAATCATTTTACAATATAAGAAATACGTTAAAGAATAAATCTATTTATTACGGGATATATACGAAAATAATTGCATATCATATTAAGTTATAATTAATGAGCAATTATTAAAATATAAAAATGTATTAAAATTTGTACGATAAGCCATTTGTACACATATTTAAAAATACACACTAGTCTATTATATTATATATAATATATTTCTCTTAATAATCCCATATTATACATTTTTTTTAATATAATAAAATTCATTATATTTTTAGGGAAGTACTTGGGTCAGCTTGTGAGCGTCGAGGACTAGACTTATCGCGCGTTGATGTAATTCTCGATACTTTTACAGCACCTTTATCTGTACATACAACCGAAACTTCTAGTCTAGGTGGAAAACATCTGCGAATAACTGGTAAGTATTTATTTTTAAATGATTATTTGTCATTTAGTTTTATGTTAACAACATAAGGATTCTCTTATTTATTTAAATTTGCAATATGAATTTATATCTTTCGGCAATAATAATTACGTTATTAAAATTTATTAAATTATCTATTTCTTATAAAGCAATTTTATTTAGAAAAACGACTACTCATTATGAAGTTACATATTTTATTAAAACTTTGTAATCAAAGACATCGAAGGTATAGAGAAATCGATGTTCAAGAATGTACTTCGTTGCGCCTCAGACACGGGATTATGGGAAATTAATAGAACCACTCCTTTGGTAATCGATTTCTTATCTCCCGATGAGATTTTCCATTATAATTGACAGTAATAAAAGAGCAGTTATGTAATTTTATAGGAGCGATGACAATATAATTCAAAAGTAAACTATCATAGGTGAAAGCCAATTGTTTTCTTTAGTTAAATATTCAGATTTGTTAACGACAATTTTCAATTATATCATCTGGCTCGTCCGGAACTTTATATAATTTACTGTATATAATTTAATTGTATATTCCGTCAAAACGAATTAAATCACAAATAAAATAATGTATTCATGTGTCTCAAGAGGTATTCAAACATTGCATATGATTGAAAAATATCAGGCTTGATGACACAACTATTCCGAGGTGCATTACTGCTTAAAATATGTATGAAATTATTTTTGAAATACTATCACAAGAATTAATACATATTAGAAGTTACAATAACGCTCATAGCAGTCATTTAATTAAATAAAATACATTAATTAAAATTATTATAACTTTAGACGAAACTTGGTATTAGTGAACACTATTAATGACACTAACATTTATTACATGTAATTAAATTTTATTCAAATGATTAATGAATTAAATACAAGAATATATAAAAAATTTGATTTTTTTTTAAATATAAATATACGTTGTTATTAATAGAAAGCTTTCACATTATAACTATCACATTTATACTAAAGTATATTGCAGTTAATCTGTATTAATTATATTTAATTAACGAAAATCAACTCAGCCAATTTTTCATGCATTTTTTGTATGATAAAAATTAGAGTTCAACGTGAAGTTAAAATCAATTCTAATGAAATCATTGCATAAATAATTGAAATTAAATGTAACTCCAATTGTGAATACATTCATTCTAACTATATAACTATCTAAATTTAATGAAAAACTTTTTTATTTCTATATAAAAAAAAAATTATTGTTATATTTACATTATATAATTACTTTTTTAAACAATTTTTGAAAGATAATTAAATTAATAAATAATTTTAAACGATTTTTTAGTGATAAGTAAATTAGGAATATTTGAATTTCATACAATTGAGTATTTATATAATGTAAAGTTTCAATGTATACATTAATTTAACAAATAATTTTGTGAACACCTATTTAATGATAGAATTATATTGGTTTGTATTAATCATTTTGAATCATATGCAGTATGTAAGTCGTAGTAATATCAAGTTGATAGAAAATTATAAAATCCGTAAATGTTATTTCAAACATTTAATCAGTTTTATAATATTTGCCAACTTTTCTAACAAGTGAATGTTAATATTATTCCACAAAATCTTACTTCTCTAGTAATCTAATATTCACATTATTCAGGTTTGTTCTAAAATGATATAAGTAGTTTATACTAGTTATGGCTTAAAACGATGCTAAATATGAGTAATCGAAGACAGTTTCCATCGGTGACTTACGTCCTTCCGCGGTAAATATATGCTTTATTTTATCAAGTATTCGTAACATTGTATCTTTGCTCAAATTTCGAACGATTTCGCACTGATTTCCCAAGTGACGGAAACATTTTTATCTTTGTCATTTAGCCTTTCTGTTTCCCTATGTGTGTGTGTGTAAAATTTTGAATATCTATGATTTATTGTAAAATCAAGGCGCACATAAATATAATATCATACTAGGTTTGCGTTTGTTTTTATTATAATTATCCAAACATTATTGCTTACCTTATTCATTATAATTAAGTGTACTCATCTATGTAAATAATATATACATAGATTTTGTATCAAGTTTTATTATTGAGAATAGAATGATACTATTTCTTTTTTATTATAAATAATATTACACATTTCATTTAAATAGTAATTAATATTATTAATATTATTAATTCATACAATAGCTTTATACGTATTATTTCCATTTTAATTTTCCTTGTAAATTTTTTTTATAATATCGATGTAAGCATTTCATTACTATATTATTATATTTTCTATATCGATAACATACTAAAACTCCAGTGATTATTTTCTTATCTTGATATATTCTTAGTTTAAAATGAAGCAACAAACATATTCTTTATGATTAATCGATATTTGATTCTACAGCATTTTTAAATTAGCTCTTTCTTAAGTTTTTCTTCATTTTTCTTGTAAAAAGTAGGCAAGGTTGTTCAACTTAACATTTATTTCCAAAACTTGTACTATATAAGTATAGCTGAACATCTATTAAAATATTTTCTATGTACACTTGCATTAATACGTTTAAAATGTAAGAATTTTTAATTTTATATTATGCAAATAATTTCTCATGTGTAATTTTTATAGTTTATATTTTTATAATTTACAGGAATAAGAAATTTAATAATATAAATTAAATTTTATATTATATCAGTATATATATCAGTTAATCAATTTAAAGTTATTAATATAAATTAAACTAAGCACATATGTATTAACATTGTAAAATATAATCTCTGATATTATGCTACACGATTTTATGAAGAGTGTTCATTTTCTTTTCTATTTATAAAAGTTTCAGATCAAATTTATCAATCTTAAACAGACTAACCCAGAAATTACAATTTTTCAGGTTATCTTTTTCTTTAGACTTTTTAATTTACTATTTCTTATAAACATTTGCTACTATACTATTGAATTCATTAAATCATTATGATAATGTGAAACAAATGTATATAAAAATTTATAGACAATACAGTGAGAATAGTATTTTTCAGTTTATATTTTTTGAAAGAAAACAACGTTCAGGCGTGTAATCTTTGCTAACATAATTTTCATAAAATTACACAAAAATTTTATTGACGATTTCTTAGTTTAGTATCTGTGTTTTAAGTATGAACATAAAGTATAATTAGTTAGGGACGTTGGATAAATTTATATACCATTTTTCAGTGTCGATCTAATTCGGATTCATTAGTAGGTATATTATACAGCGACCTTGCTTTATACGCTAAAAGTATACGAAGAATTATACATAAATTGACATCTTTATGGTAATCTGAAAAATACACATATAATTTCTCTTGCAATCACACATACATAACCGCTTGCTTTGTTATTCAGTCCCTATATACTAGTTCTTGCTTGGTTGCACATGTATCCCCGTTCCGTGCACACTTCTAATCGCATAATCAATGTAAATATTAATTTAAATATTCGAGTCATTTGAAAATATTTTAACTTTGCACATTATTTATTGTTTTAATAAATCAAGAGTAAATATAATTATTTGATGAAGATCAATTGTCTGCTAACAAAATAATATATAGGAGCATTTGTAGCTACGTCATTATGCGATTCGGTAACTGAATTAATAGTCATTCGTTAAATAATTGTCCATAATTTTGTCGATAAAATTTTATTGATAATAAGAACGCATTAAGAAAAATCGATCCATCGAATTTAGAAATATAACTGTATTACATTTTGTAATAAAATTCCTTTTACGGTAAATGATTTGAGCTTGAAGTACAAAATTGATTTTACTAATTTAATGAATCATCTTTTAAAGCTGATGTATAGTTCTTTTTTCACATGAATATATGTAATAGTTATGTATATTACGGTGTATACTTCTGAAATTGAAAACATTCGACGTCCGACTAAGGGATGAAAAATTATTTATATCTCTAATAGATTAAAGAAATTTATTATTAAAATTTATCAACAAAAATATTCGTTATAAAATTAGTTTATAAAGAACCATTTACTGATTTTAAATTTATATATTCCCTTCAAAACATAGCATAGATATCGTAGAAATGAGCAAACTCTATTATGATAGTAAATTTATTAAAATAGTTTACTTAAAACAAAAAAAAAAGTTATTTGAAAAGCAATTATCTCAATAGTTATCAATATTAATTATTCATATTTATTTCTTCATTAACTATTTGTTTTTTCTATGCTTTGTGAATGAATTGAACAACTTTATATTTTACTTTAATATATATTCTGGAAAAGTATTCAATTTTAATTTTAATAATATATTATTCCATGATGAACATTTCGTTTATTAATATATTTCTATAATTTTAATGAAACATTATTATTTTTAATAATATTTCATTAATGATTTTATGAATTAAATTAGTGTTGAAATAAATATCTGAGTTCAAATCGCTCTATTTTCTTTAAAGCTCGCGTGTGATAAAAACATGTAAGATCAAATCCATTCTACCAATTCCTATTCATATACACTGTATACATACTTATTAAAGTTTCCGTAAATTTCCATACAAGTGCTGTAGAGGGTAATCTGACGTATGTGTTACACACAAATTTTCGTTATCCTAAATGTATTGAGAAGTAAAATGATTAGTGCATTTTCATATTAAGTTATACAATCATCATATATCGAAATTTCCTATATTTTATAATTATGTGATATGTATTATTAATTTATAGATATTTATATTTATTTATATTTCTAATGAATAATTATAAACAATTTTCATAGATATAAAACTAATGTTTTCAATATTATAAAAATGTTTTTCTTTATATTTCTATTGTTACCAATATTTTATAAATAACATTATACATTTTATAATTTAAGGGAGGTTAAAAGATTTTATTATATATATATATATATATATTTTAATTTCGTGTTACTATGATTATTATTTTATGCATTTAATTAAATGCATATTATGAATATTACGACTACTTACATCGTTATTTTTGAGATTTATAATTAATGTTCATTAATAAATTAATAGGATGCAGAATTTAAATACAATATCAGATTAATTAATTTAATGAAACAAATCATAATTTCTTAAACATTAATAAGAGAATTTGGAATTTTCTTTGTTTATAAAATAAGCATTTAGTAAAATATATTTTTCATAACTTCACTTTACCAGTAAAATATCATAAATCGGATTATTCCCAATTATTCTTCCAATAACCTTTTTCAAACATTACAAATATTTGTGTTTGATAAACATTTTAATTAAGTATATTTTATTCCATATTTTTAAGAACATATTCAGAACCCTGGCGAATTGTATTTATTGCTAAAGATTGAAACATTTTAGTATTCAAAATTTACTTATTAGATATCAAAGTTTAATGTCTGATGGACATTCTGACATTAAATGAATTTGATATTGAAATTCGTTGCATTATTTGTGAGGCAATTAAAAAACCGAATACAGTTGAGTGTGCTCTTCAATATATGTTTTTGCATTGTAGTGTAGCTTCTTTAAATAATGTTAAAGTTCAAATATATGTACGATATTAAAAATAGTTACCGACATGAATATTCATTATAGCAGAAACGCTGGAGTCAACATTTTCAACGAGGTATTTTCATCTGTAACTTCTTTTTTATATTTTTAAATATTCTTAAAAATAGGATTATCTAACCAATGTTAATGCACAACTGACATTAAAATAGACGAGAAAGATACAGGTGGATAGAATGAATAAAAAAAAAAAAGAAATATGAACATTTTTTCTTCTTCTATCTTTTCTCAAGCTTTTTCGATCATTCGTAATAAAATGTAGAATAGAGATATAAGAATCCATACACATATATCACTTGTCTTTCTATTTTATCTATATACACATCTATAACAACGTAGAACTGACAAGGCATCATTAATTGAAGGCAGCATTTCAAACTCGTTGATTTTCCGTGCTCCAATTTACATTACGAAAAGCTTAATAAGAGGATTTGTCAATATCTTTATCCAAAAGCATTCGTTCTACAGAATTTTCAATTATTAAAAATATATTAATAATAAAAGCACAAATTTTATAATAATTTCGTTTAATTAAAATCATTTAGGTACGAATGCATTTTAAGGAACAATGTTAGAAATATATCAACCGTAATTTATTAAAATATTCTGAGGTTATCTTATAACATAATGATCATATTCAAATAAGAAATAGTCATTTTAAACGTTTTCTTTACCGCGAAAAATTCGCTGAAATTATTGTCATCTTTTATATCATATTATTGTTAATTTAATTTAAAAGAAATGATAAATTACGCACGTTAGCTCGAACTTACGCGCGTACACACGAACACACGCGCGCGCGCACACATACACACACACACACACATAAATCGTGGTTCTAATCACGGTGTGCTTTGTTTGCGTGGAAACTTGAAATATGCACTTGAATACAAATATAACAACAAACGTATGTCTTAAATGAAGTAGGAAATAAACATTTAAAACAATAGAAATTTGCTGGACTTGTAGCAATCGTAATAAATACTTTTTAAAATGCAACAGTATGTTATACAATAATCATTTATATAACAGCGTAATGCTGTAAAAATACAAAGTCACGGAAACTCTTAATTGAAAGAAAGAATTCATTACATTAATTTTAAAAGTCAATTAATGCGTTATTAAATAATGTATTAAAGTACATTATCAATTATTAAATATTTTTAATATTTTGTGAGTTTTTTTCTGACACATACTCAGTTTAATGTATATGGACATTGATCCATTTCATAGATGTAAGTGTAGCGCCTAAAGCAAGGAAAACTTTATATTATGTGATTTAAAATCACGTCAGGGTCTGAATATTTATCTATATCGTTGGTGCCGGATGTGCTTTCTCACGAAAGCAAGTTTTCGGAATGCAATTTACCCTTATTGTCAGGCATAGCAAAAATCCATTTCCTGACAATGCGCTCGGATGTAAATGTTTTCGTAAAAATATCCGATGCCGTGCATCGAGGTAAATTTTAATGAATTATCGTAAGAAAAACTAATTGACAATTATCAACGTTTATTCTTCATCTACAATGGATGGGTTCTTTGAATATAAATAAGTATTTATGCTTACTTATGTTGGAGCATGCAACTGTGATTGCATGTGAGTGTACATTAAAGTCTACCTCTAGACGTCTGTGCGTAAGTTTTGTATGAAAATCTTCATTACATTTACATTGATATTTTATAAGAATTAATATTTCATAAATAAGATAGAGACAAATTCAGAAACTGGCTGAATTATAATAATATTTTATTTCTAGTACAATTTTATTTATTTATTTTTATTTATTTATTAAACAATATAATTTCATGAAAAATCAAAATAATAAACAATAAAATTTAATCTTTTCACGTCCATAAATGAGTAAAATTTATAATTACAAGCTTTTTTAAGTAGCTTCTATATTATTAAAAATTTTAATGAATTTTTATATATCTGGAATGGAAAATCTATTAAAATAAAATTTTAAATAATAAACATAAAAAAAATTTATTTGCTAAATTTCCGAAAATATATAAAAATATTTCAAGTTCTTATACGCAAGCAAGAAATCTTAAAGAAAAAACATTTTTATTAAAAAAACTGGTTTATTCGGTCGGAAATTATTCTCTGGGTCTTTCATTTTCGCGTCGAATGCTTTCCTAACCGAATTTCCAATGTCTACGTATTTTTTTATTCAAGTTCCCCTTATACCGTAATATTAGAGTCTCATGTTTTGCTTCTACTCTTAGTTTGACTAAAATTCTTATTACTATTCCTTAATTACTATCATGTTTTCATAAAACTTTAATTTTTCTATGACATATATGCATTACGAATGCTATTTATCATAATTTGCAGTTGATATATTGGACAAGTGTATAGCGATTATGTCGTTTCTTCATCGTCATTTATATTTATTAAAATTTATATAATTGGAAATTAAATATTAATATATATTATATAATTGTTTTTAAATTCCTAAATATTATGAAAACGATTAAATACAATTCAAATACAACATTTCAAAGTGAAGTAACGTATTGAACTACGAATTTATTGAACATAAATTCGTAATCTTGTTAATTTATCATCTCAGACAAATTCTAAGAAAATTAATTTCACAAGCATATATATTATCTTTTAAATATTATATAGTTTAATGTACATATACGTTCAATTAATTTAACACTTAACAATAAGAAAGTGACATAATTCAATTAGTGCCAATAATTCAAATAATATATGATAAAAAAATGTCTACATTAGTTTCATTAAAACAACTACACTAATAGATTTCGAATAATAGCTCTCGTGAGATATAAGAAATTCAATCTTTATATTTATAGATTTAAGTTAGTGAAAATTATTAAATAATGGGCTAATAAGGATTTTATTAATATAACAATACACAAACGTTTTATATTTCATTTTAGTCAAATTTATTGACAAATAAAACATTTGCATTTGCACGTACTCATTTTAATATAGCCATTGACAGTTCAAATATTTTATAATTATGATAATATAATAGCACAAATGCAGACTGGATTGAGATTTTTTGTATATAGCTTTAATATATATATTATTGTTTAAGAATCTCGTAAAAATGCTTTAGAATTAAAATATTTTCTATCGAATTAACGAACTACAATATATATATATATATATATATATATACAGAATTTTGTAGTTTTGGTTCTAAAATTTATTATATTTAGATTAATCTAGCAATTCAGTGTACGAAAGTTTCATTTATTGGAATGATTCAATAAAAAATATCCTATACATGACAAAATGAAATAAATACGCTATTTTATTGAAGGCGCGTTTAATACATGTAATGATAGATTTCTCGAACAATAATTTATTTTAAAATATTATAGTTTATAGTTTAAAAGTTAATACTTCAAAAATGTACTGAAATATTATTTATATGTTTTATTGTAGCAAAAGATGAAAGAACGAATTCGAGATCAGCAAGCCAAAGAAGTAGTCACAACGTATCATTTCGAAAAACTGGAGGGGTAAGTTACGAAAATTTCATTATTTTTTAACGAAACACGTGTTTATATTCGTAGTACGAATATTAAATAAATATTTTGACAAAATTATAATAATGTCGATGTGATATTCCAATTTAAATATATATATATATATATATATATATATATATATGTATGTATATTTATTTATTATTTATTTATTTTCATATAAATTTACCAATAACAAAATCAGTTCTAGTAATTCATTGCTTTTATATAACACCTGTTCATTTAGTAGATCAGACCTATTAAAAAGTACCAATAATTAAAATACGTAATAATTATTTCGTTGTTATGAAAGGGAAATGAGATCGTTAATCAAAGCAGTTTGATAAGTTTTCATCAAGATGACATACACCAATACATGTAGATTTTCATAAAACAAGGCGGAAAAAGAATTAGCCACCATCAAATAAAACGAGAATAGTTTTGTGTTACGTCAAACGATTCCCTAGCGTACTTTGTACTTTATACTGTGCCTCTCAATTTACGTATACAACGCCATCTTTTGTCTTCATAGAAGGGTTTTGTTGTCCCACATGAGTCTACTTTTCACTCTATCGTGAATCGTCAAGAAATATAACGAAGGGGTCGAGGCTGAACAATCAAAGTAAAAGTAAAATAATACAACGGCCTAAAAGACGTCTAGAATGACTTTGAACATAATTGAGCTGGCACTTCCCTCATCATATATGATTTTAACAACATAATTAATAGAAATCAATTTAAGTCAGCTTAGTTTATTTAAATTATTTATTAAACATTCCGCATTCTATATTGTTTGTAATTTCATAAGGAGATAATATTGTAGTAAGTAGATATCGATTTTAAGTTTAGCGCAACTTTGCAGTATATAAATTTGTGACTTGTTCATATTTCTCTTTCTAAATTCAGTTCTTAGCTTTCGATTGTCAAGATTACAAAAAGAATAATTATCCAGTTATTTATAATGCTCCAGATTAAATAAGTGCTAATTTAATAAATATTTGGTATTAAAGCATATGAAATACGTATATTCGTATCCTTACTAACAAACTGGTCCTTAAATATTTGAAAAAGTGAAGGTGTATTAAGAATATCAATAAAACCTTTAATATTATTTTGTGAAGAATGCTAGTTGCTCATGATGCTTCTAAAAAAAAGTAAATACATATTTTGCCAAAGATTTATTTATTATATATAGGAATTACAAAATCAAAGCTACTGCAGATCAAACTAATGTAATGAAATTTGTACAATAAATAGTCTATCATAAATAAAAAATAAAAATGATTTCTATAATTATGTATATAAATTAAAAATTCTTATGAAATTTACAGTTTTATTAATAATTTTTATTAAATTATTAATCAATACCGTTTCCATATTTTTTCTATAATTAACATATCTCATAAATTATAAGTTTATATCTAAATTAATAAATCTATTGTTTTAAAATAATTAAACAATTTATCAAAAAAGGATCTATATCATTAAACAGATGATCATTAAATAGTTGATGCAGATATCCATACATTTTCTAAATTCCGTATAAATTTTTCCCATTTTATTAATTATACACTCATCGTTAATTGTAACATATGAAATCTAATCTACTGGAATTTCTATGAAAATCAATCTTTTCTATCTATGCGATTTACTTTATATTCGGCATCATTTTCTTTTAATTATCTTCTTTAAAATTATATAGATTCGATATATTATTCATTATACTAGCATTAATGATATATTCGACAAGTATAAAAACCATCATAAGCTAATTGAATTGAAGCATTCTTTTATATATTTTTAAATAGCTCATGTTTTCGATATTTATTAATTGAAAAAGATTTAAAAAATAGTAAATAAAGTTTTTAGTTAAAATAAAAAATTTACGCTTTTTGATTAAATTAACTTTTACAACTTATGTTTGAAACTTTATATGCAAACAAAATTTTCTGTAAAATTTTGCATATAATTATTAATGTTTATTTCATTTATTCATTAACCTATTTTATTTCTTTATTAGTAGATGAATATAATATGCTGAACAAATATCTTTTATTAAATATTAAACATATATCATTAAATCTTTTATTTCTACAACCATATATGCTTTAACTAATAATAAGTCTTACCTACTCACCTAAATTAATCTCTACAATCGATAACTTTTACATGTTCATTGCTTTAATCGAAAATATCAGTGATAAATTAGATCTAATTTTGATCGTGGATCTAACCACTTAAATAACGCATGATTTTTATGATCCACTTTATATTTTTCGCAAGTATCAAGAACATAATTTGTGTTTTTTTATCTTAATTGTTTAAAAAATTTATAATAAATTTTAATAGCATTAGTTATTCTTGAAGCTTATTTTGAAAAATTCATTAGATTATGCAATTTACACTAATCTTATATTTTATTTTGTATTTTCTGATCCGGGAATTGTCTAAACCAAGCAAATATTAATGGGATTCCACGTTAGCCTGGTTTTCAAACAGAGTTTTTAACATATAATTACAATGTTATATTAAATATAATGAATATAATATAATACAAAATATAATAAATTTCTGGAAAATACGTTAATACGCTTTATAAATATATATAGACATATAACTATACACAATATATTAATATTACAATAAATTATTAATAGCAAGAAGTTTTTCAATACGTACATATTCATAAATCGTAATAGAAGGTAATACAATTTAATCTGATAGCATAATAATCATTGTTAACATCTATTTAATTGATTTGTTTTTTTTTGACAAGAATGTCAACGGTTTTTTCAATCGCGCCAGTTTCTTCGTTCTATCTTCTCGATTGCTCGCCTATTTTTCTGTTGCTTTAGTACTTCTACCTACTTTTTACAGCAACTGACTCATATATTTCTTTCTTATAGATTTCATTAAATAGAATATGGAAATCTGTCAATCGATAGTTTACCTATACCAACGTTCTTGGTATTGAAAGGTTCAAGTATTATTTTTCTAAATTTTATCTTATTCGGACATTCAGGCATTTGATACATTTCAACATATTTGTCGAAAAGACACTTTTCAGTTACAAACTATATTTTACATAATTGCAGCAAAATAATAATTTGTGTCTATTTTTCTAAATTATTTCTTTAAATATTAGTACATCTGATTTGGTGCACTAGGTAATCTTATATATCTGCTCATATAATTCTTCATTCTTTTACTTCTTAGTATTACCGAGTTAGATTTATCATGATCTACTTGTAGGTCGATCAATCAATCACGATAAACTATATTCTGAAGTTAGCTTTCATCTATAAATGTATTTTTTCGGGGATCTTCTAGAAGTACGGGAATTCAAATTCTGAAAATGGTTATTTGCGATAGTAAGAAATTGCATGTTTATTCAAAATATTGGCACGTCATTCATTGCCTTTTTCTTTCATGTTCTATAAATACTTCTTATTGCTATTATCAAATGCTTTCATTACTTAAAATAATAATTAATGTATCCGTAAACTTATTCGAATAATTTACGTATTACTATATTATAATATGCATTCAGAATATTCATCCACTAAATTTCTTTTGAATTTAGATAAATGAAAATAATTAAGTTATTAGGCTTGTTATATATAGATTGAAATATATAAAATTTTATCTTATTCTTTAATGTTGATTACAGAGCCTATTCATGATTTCATTATTAAATGATTATTCTAGTATATATATATATATATAATACATTGTTTTCAAAACATAATATAACAATAAGATCATAGAAAACAAATGAATACATTTCACACTATCATAATTGTTCATAAAATTGAATTTCATTTAATTTTATATAATTATTTTATTTTTAAATAACGAATGAATTATGCGTAATTTGTAATTATTTTACATTCATTTATTGATTATCTAAATTAATAAAATCGATTATATCTATGAATATGTATATATGATAAATTTAAATATATATAATGTAGGTTAGGAGAACTTAGTCTGTAGAACAATTATTTAAAAATATTTAATTATTAGATTTTAAGATATTTAAGAATTATTTAGAATATTATTAAAATTTTATTTATAAAATGTTGTTTTGTAATTTTTCTGATATCAATTATGTTTTCATACAGTTGTATCCTTTATTTTGTTTAAAATGTTTATTAATATGTCATTAAAATAAATCTATTTAGTAATCTAATACTGTTCAATTATAATTATAACAAAATATTTTATAATTGTTTAACCATGTTTACTTCAATAAGGTTCTACTTTCTTTTCGACTCTCTTCCCTTTCTCTTTCATCGATTGCATTCCCCTTCTCTATATTCCCTACAAATTTCACTTTCTTCGGTGGATAAAAGTTTTATCAATCGATTAAAGTATGCACTGTAAAAAGAATTGCATAATATAAAAACTCCTGAGACTTTCACAAATGGACATGTACTATACAGAGTGTTGTACTAATTTTTTTAATAACAATCCTTAATCGCAATAAAATTGTAGAAAACCAATATTTTTATATGTAATTGTCCATATAATAAAATAGTAAACAATACGTAAATTAAAGTGCTATATATGAATATATAAATAATATTTGTCATTAGTTATATATCTTAGTAATCAATCAAATATGAATTTTTCTTACTCCACTTTATATTCACATAAAATAGAAAATTTTAAATATAATTAATTTCATGAAGTAAGTTAATTTATCAGATAACTACAATAATAGATTTTTCGTTAATTCAATTTGCTTTCTTGATTAAATAGTTTATTAAAGAAATGTATTTCATTAATAACAATATTTAAAACATAATCTATATTTTATTATTTCAGAAATAATTTAAAAAATTATTTAAAAAATATATAATGTAATTTATAAACATTAACGTTGGTATTAATTTCTCTAATATAAATAAATTAGAAATTTATTTTACTTAGAAATTCATATATTCTACAAATTTATCATTCTATAATCTGCTATTGCTTTCTTCATTTTT